ACTAGCAAAAGTGTTAAGGCATTTCGATTAGATTGAGGTGACGAATACTTGAATGCTAAAATTTTAGATCACCTAAAAGAGAATGAGATTCTCTATGGACATCACATGTCCTTGGAGGACATAGAACTCCTAGAGTCCTTGGAGGATTAGGAAGTAACAACCTAGAGTCCTTAAGGGACTCATTGCAACCCTCCTTGTCCTTAGAGGACAAGGAACTCTCTCTTATAAATATATAGGGGAGAGAGGTGCGGCAAGAGGAAGAAAAATACACAAAAGAAAATTAGAGGGAAAAATTCGACAAAGAGAGAAAATCTCTCTAAGGTACACGAAAAAAGGAAAATAAAAGAGAAAGTAATTTTCTCTTTTAAACTTTAATACACATCACTTTTCCTCTTCCTTTAAGGTTGTTGCAAACTTGTCCGGATTAGATTTCTATAGGAAACACTAAACAAATCAAAAAAGGTGGAGCTAGCACTATATCAATTTTGAATGCTTCTTTGTGGATGCTTGGACCGTGTGGATCATCAATAGAGGCTAGACACTTGGATGGATTTTTTACTAAAGAATTTAGATCTATGCTACAAAAGATAATTCTCTATTCATTGTTTTAATTCTTGTATATATAGTTAATTGATTTAATGACATGATGTTGGGCCCTTTAGATGGAGGAAAATTTTTATTTATTCTCGCATCTCCATAGGATGCATGATCCTTCATGTTAGGGATTTGTTTTAACCAAAATTTCCTGATTTACTCTAAGGTTTTCTCTCGAGGTTTAAGATTTTGAATTTGGTGATTATGTTTCAATGAAAAAGGGTTTGGGTTTTTCAATTTTAGAGATTAGGTTTTTGGTTGATTGTTCATCGAGTGGTTTGAGTTCGCAACAAAGGAAGAGAATAAGAAAGGAGGTAGGGTTTGTAGGTGGGTGGATGACAAGAGAAGAAAGAATGAGAAGAATGGTAAAGCTCGTTATGTGGGTTCGTTCGTGTATGAGAAAGAAGAAGAAGGAAGATGAATGGTGAAGCTCGGGTTTTGGGGTGGAAGAGAAGAAGGAAGGAGAAGAAGGTGAAGCTTGTTTTATGGGTTCATTCGGACTTGAGAAGGAAGAAGAAGAAAGATGGTGGTTTGTGTTTGTGGGAGAATTGAAATGAAAATAATTAAGGGTTACCGTTGTTTTAATTTGAATTGGGGATTTTTTTTTTTTTTAATTGGGGAAGGAAGAGTGAATGGCATGTCATTCAATTTTGAGTAGTTAATTGTCCATGTGGTAGCTTATACAAATCCTATGTGTTACATTCAGCTCGACTAACATGCTCCACTATATGCCACGTCGACTTTGGTAGAAAATTTAAGTCAAGAAACTCCACTTGTGCTTCATGATTTTTCTATCTAAAATTGAAAAATCGAGCTAATATTCTTAAAAATTGTAAAGTTCATAATTTTCTAGCGCATTAAGTTTTTTTTCATAAATATGTGTTTTCTAGCTTATGCGAATCCTACGTGTTGGTTTCAACATGGTTTTCTTTGGTGAGTTCTATGCAAATGATTGGTGCTTTTATCTTCAACTTGCCTATCTTTCATATCACGTATTTTAATCAAAATCATGCTCTTTTCATCCCATTTTTAATTTTCTTTAGTTTTAGTACTTGTTTATTTTAAAGTGAGCATAAAACATTTGATTGGCCAAGTCTTAAATTACTCGATTGCTTGATTTCTAATTTAATTACAAATTTATTCAATTAAATATAAATTTTCATCTTAACAAAAATCAAAAATGATGTTTTGATTTGCATGCGATGTAATCTACTTTAAGTAAAATGAGATAGAATCATTTTTTTTTTACATAACCAATTCTTTACTTTAAGAATTTTAGGCAAACCTTTGGGGTTTTTTTAGTGATTTTTAATAGTAAATGATGACTCTTTTGTCAATTTTTCTTTTTTATTTTTTAACCCAAAGGTTATGATGTCTACTCACTATGCTTTAATCCAATATCTACCTTCGACTTTATTTTACATATTAAGGAGCTCACCACCTTTTGGCCAAAAATTAATATAAAATTTTCAAGGTATTAACAAATGTAATAGGGATTCCAATAAAGAAATTATCTTTTTAAAAAAAATGTAAAGCCACCTTATCTTTGCTAATTTTTCTCCATTTGTTGGTTTCGACATGGTTTTCTTTGGTGAGTTCTATGCAAATGATTGGTGCTTTTATCTTCAACTTGCCTTTCTTTCATATCATGTATTTTAATTAAAATCATGCTCTTTTCATCCCATTTTTTATTTTCTTTAGTTTTAATACTTGTTTATTTTAAAGTGAGCATAAAACATTCGATTGGCCAAGTCTTAAATTACTTGATTGCTTGATTTCTGATTCAATTACAAATTTATTCAATTAAATATAAATTTTCATCTTAACAAAAATAAAAAAATGATGTTTTGATTTGCATGCAATATAGTCTACTTTAAGTAAAATGAGATAGAATCAGCTTTTTTTTTACAACCACCAATTCTTTAATTTAAGAATTTTATACGGACCTTTGGGTTTCTTTTAGTGATTTTTAATAGTAAATGATGACTCTTTTGTCAATTTTTTATTTTTTATTTTTTAACCCGCATTACAATGTCTACTCACTACACTTTAATCCAATATCTACCTTCAGACTTTATTTTACATATTAAGGAGCTCACTACCTTTTGGCCAAAAATTAATATAAAATTTTCAAGGTATTAACAAATGTAATAGGGATTCCAATAAATAAATTTTCTTTTCTAAAAAAAATTTAGAGCCACTTTGTCTTTGCTAATTTTTCTCCGTTTGTTGGTTTCAACATGGTTTTCTTTGGTGAGTTCTATGCAAATGATTGGTGCTTTTATCTTCAACTTGCCTATCTTTCATATCACGTATTTTAATCAAAATCATGCTCTTTTCATCCCATTTTTAATTTTCTTTAGTTTTAGTACTTGTTTATTTTAAAGTGAGCATAAAACATCCGATTGGTCAAGTCTTAAATTACTCCATTGATTGATTAATGATTCGATTACAAATCTATTAAATGAAATATAAATTTTCATCTTAACAAAAATCAAAAATGATGTTTTGATTTGCATGCGACGTAGTCTACTTTAAGTAAAATGAGATAGAATCTTTTTTTTTTTTTTACACAACCAATTCTTTATTTTAAGAATTTTAGGCGGACCTTTGGTTTTTTTTTTTTTTTTTGTGATTTTTAATAGTAAATGATGACACTTTTGTCATTTTTTATTTTTTATTTTTTAACCCGGAGGTTACAATGTCTACTCACTACACTTTAATCCAATATCTACCTTCAGACTTTATTTCACATATTAAGGAGCTCACCACCTTTTGGCCAAAAATTAATATAAAATTTTCAAGGTATTAACAAATGTAACAAGGATTCCAATAAATAAATTTTCTTTTTAAAAAAAATGTAGAACCACCTTGTCTTTGCTAATTTTTCTCCGTTTGTTGGTTTCGACATGGTTTTCTTTTGTGAGTTCTATGCAAATGATTGGTGCTTTTATCTTCAACTTGCCTATCTTTCATATCAAGTATTTTAATCAAAATCATGCTCTTTTCATCCCATTTTTTATTTTCTTTAGTTTTAATACTTGTTTATTTTAAAGTGAGCATAAAACATTTGATTGGCCAAGTCTTAAATTACTCGATTGATTAATTTATGATTCGATTACAAATTTATTCATTAAACATAAATTTTCATCTTAACAAAAATCGAAATGATGTTTTGATTTGCATGCGATGTAATCTACTTTAAGTAAAATGAGATAGAATCCTTTTTTTTTTTTTACACATAACCAATTCTTTATTTTAAGAATTTTTGGCGGACCTTTGGGTTTGTTTAGTGATTTTTAATTGTAAATGATGACTCTTTTGTCAATTTTTATTTTTTATTTTTTAATCCAAAGGTTACAATGTCTACTCACTACACTTTAATCCAATATTTACCTTTAGCTTTATTTTACATTTTAGGGAGCTCACCACCTTTTGGCCAACAATTAATATAAAATTTTCAAGGTATTAACAATTGTAATAGGGATTCCAATAAATAAATTTTCTTTTTTAAAAAAATGTAGAGCCACCTTGTCTTTGCTAATTTTTCTCCGTTTGTTGGTTTCGACATGATTTTCTTTGGTTAGTTTTATGCAAATGATTGGTGCTTTTATCTTCAACTTGCATATCTTTCATATCACGTATTTTAATCAAAATCATGCTCTTGTCATCCCATTTTTTATTTTCTTTAGTTCTAATACTTGTTTATTTTAAAGTGAGCATAAAACATCCGATTGGTCAAGTCTTAAATTACTCCATTGATTGATTAATGATTCGATTACAAATCTATTAAATGAAATATAAATTTTTATCTTAACAAAAATAAAAAATGATGTTTTGATTTGCATGCAATGTAGTCTATTTTAAGTAAAATGGGCTAGACACTTTTTTTTTTTACACATAACCAATTCTTTATTTTAAGAATTTTAGGTAGACCTTTGAGTTTTTTTTAGTGATTTTCAATAGTAAATGATGACTCTTTTGTCAATTTTTATTTTTTATTTTTTAATCCAAAGATTATTATGTCTACTCACTACATTTTATTCCAATATCTGCTTTTATTTTTATTTTACATATTAAGGAGCTCACCACCTTTTGGCCCAAAATTAATATAAAATTTTGAAAGTAGTAACAAATGTAATAGAGATTCCAATAAATAAATTTTCTTTTTAAAAAAACTGTAGAGCCACCTTGTCTTTGCTAATTTTTCTCCGTTTATTTGTACACTACAAAAAAACATCAATTTGTGTGTTTTTTTCTTTCTTTCCCTCATCATTATTATATCGTCCTCCATAGAAAAAGATGAAAAAATTTATTGTTTTCTCAAAAATTATTGCTCTCCGTCTAGAGATGGATCTGTGAGAAACTAAGTGCCCATTTCTGAAGTTGGTAGATCTGGGTTAAAGATGGGGGCGGCCGAGAATATATCGAGTTCGAGCTCTGAGAATGAGAATTTGAATGACAGTGAGACGCAGGTGGTTTTGAATGTTTACGATCTCACCCCTCTAAACCAGTACACCTATTGGTTCGGTTTTGGGATTTTTCATTCAGGCATTGAAGGTGTTTTATCTTTTATTTTTTATTTTGGTGATTCTGTGCGGGTTTCTTGATTTGATGATTTCGAATACTGAAGTTTTACTGTGCTAGGGTTTACGTTGGGCTAATACCTTCCAATATAATATAATATAGTTTGTACGTCCTTTGATTTGCTTTCTTTTATCCAAAATGAATGTCACTGGCCCATATTAATCGCTCTTCTTTCTTTTTTGAATTTTATGGCTTGCCTGAAATGTACAATTTTCGACATTTATAATACTTCTGGAACTCCCACTGCTTATGCCTTATAGTACATTCCGTATTGCTTCAGTTTTTTAATTATCATTATCATCGATGTTGTTTAAAAGCCTTAGAGGTTCTGCTTTGGTGAGAGTTTTTGGGGTTTCTTTTGACCATGATGTCCGATAACCATAGCTTGTGAAAATCTGTTATGTTTTTGGGAGTGATATTAGCTATTTTCTCTAGTCATTATACATTTTAAAAGATGTGAATTCGACATTAGAATCTTATTGTCCATGGTCATCCCCTTAAATATAATGAACTGCATTGACTTTCTCTCTATGTATGAACAGTTCATGGTAAGGAGTACGGATTTGGAGCCCACGACTTCCCTGTCAGTGGAGTTTTTGAAGTGGAACCAAGGAGCTGCCCTGGTTTTATTTACAGATGTTCCATCCCTTTAGGGTCGATAAAGATGCCTTGCTCTGAATTCCGAACATTTATAGAGAGTGCTGCTTCCCAGTATCATGGAGATACCTATCACCTCATCTCTAAGAATTGCAACCATTTCACAGATGACATCTCATGGAGATTGACAAACAAGCGCATACCAGGATGGGTGAATCGGCTTGCGCGGCTAGGTATGAAGAATCCCTCCATTTAGTTAAGCTTTTTTATTTCTTCTTTTCATCCCGTTAATGGATAACTTTTCCTGATTTTCCACCATAACTGGCAGAGAGCCAGCTGCAGTGGTCTTCATTGCTTTACTCAGCAAATATACATTTAGCTCAGTGTTTACTCTTAAGTTGTTTAGTTGGTCAAGCATCGTTAAGGGGTGTTCGTACAAAAAATATTCACAAAATAAGTTCTTCTGCTTGTTTGCTTTGCTGGAATCTCACCTGTTGAGAAAGTAAACTAATGTTGCTATTGGCCAAAACTTTAGGTGCTCTCTGTAGTTGTCTGCTTCCCGACAGCCTTCAAGTAACTACTGTTAAACAGCTACCTGAATACCATGATTGCTTAGGTGAGTAATGTATTTCTTGAATGTAACCCTGTTCTTCATATGCTACAATCTGACATCTAATCAATCGTAAACTTGATCCTGCTGGCTGTGCTCTTGACATTGGTTTTTTTCTTCTTGGGTGATAATTGTTAGAAGAAGATGGAAGTGAATCTCTGACTACCACCACCCCCTGCGAGTCAACAGAAATTGATGATACTGATCAAGAGAAGCACTTGCTGTCGCCAAGTGCTGTAAGTGGGGATGTGGCTTTTGTTAAGGAGGCTCACAGGTGAAGTTGTCTGCTTGATGGAAAGATAAAAATGGCTCAGAAAGCTGTTTGTGTGCTCTCCTTGGAATTTGGTTAGAAGATGCCTAAGAATTGCTGCTTGGATTTTGGTGGAAAGATGTGCTTGTGCTTTCTCAATCTTTGAAGGCAGAAAATTGCGAGGCACTGTTTGATAGTGTGAAAGCATAGATTGTTCATGTAATTGTTGTAACTCCATTAATTTCTTTATTTATTTTTACCCCTTTTTTTTTCAGTTTGTTACATTTTCCGAAACTGAAAATTTGGAAGTGCGAAGTAGTTTGCAGGGCACGTTGATTTGTGCTAGTAGTTTGCCGCGATGTTTCCAAAGTGGAAATGAAATTGGTGAGACTATACGGTGAGTATGACAAACAGATTTGATTGTCAACATCGTAGACATGATAGCTTATGAGCCTTGGCGTGCAAAAGTTTGTTAAGAGAAAATTTATAGACCTACTCTTCTGGATAAACCTTTTAATTAAAGGAGAAATGGCAAATTTGCCCCAAACTATCTTGCATATCCCAATTGGGTCCTCTACCTATGATTGTTCTAAATGGGTTTAATGATAAATTTTGACCTAATTTTATCATAATTTGACAATTTTAAGTTTATAATATCAAATTGTGTAATTTTGATGATAAAAGGATGCAATTGAAACTCTGCATCAAGTTTCACAAGTCTCAAAAGTGTAAAACATATCTTACAGCCTAAATTTTGGAAGTGACCTTATGTGCCTATTTAATGAATCATTAATGGTAAATCGCAATGGGAGTTAATTGATCAAAATTTAAACATATGGGACACTGAAATAGAAAAATCAGTAGTTGGGGGATTCAATTGGGACAAGCATTATATTTTGGAGGCAGATATGTCCCTTCCCCTTAATTGAATCTTGATCCATCATCAAATATATTCTCAAGTTATTGGAATAGTATCAATTTTACATTCAAACTATTTTCGTGCTCTCTCGAGTTCCATAATTCCAACAAAAAGTTGCAAAGGCAGCGCCACCAGGGAAAACCCAAATGCAACTTCTGTGAGGTGTGTTCTATTGTCTCTTACTTCAAATTCCACCATTACTAAAGATGCTTATTATATATTCTCTTCATTATGTGTTTACATCATGCATTTAAAAGATAGTACTACATCCAGACTCCAATGTAGCAATTAATTTTAATGTTTTAAGTTTCAATGTTAAACTTCCAAACAGCACCTTAATGACCACCCCAACGATATACAATTCCCTGATTGAATGCCAGATCCACCCAACTTTTAGGTACACAAGTACAAACTTGTTACAGATAGAACAACGAACCACAGGTATGTATAACAAGCCTGAAAACACTTTTCGCAACTTAATTTTGTTTGTGCCCCTCCACCCTGTGAGTGTTTTCTGCTTTCAGTTTTTTTCCTGAGCAAGCAATTCCTAGTTTGCACACAACATCAAATCATGAAGAACGCCCTTCAAGCCCCAATTTAGAAGTCAGCCAAGCACAAACCTCATTCATCTCTTCAGGGATTGTGTAGTGACCAAGCCTGTATAGTGGATGAAAAATAATCAACATTTCACTCTTGTATTGTCACAGACAGCTGAAACAAGAATATTACATGGAGATCTCCGATTACATACCCATTGAAAACTTTGAATGTTGCATCCTGGAATCCAGTTGAGCTCAGAACAGATGAGGATTTTTCACCAAATTTGTAAGGAACCACATCATCACCTGTAATCAATTAAAGTTGAAAATCAAGATGTTCACAGCATTCCCCACACCTCAGCAGACAGGTATTTGGCGATACAATAGTGGAAGCCAACACTATTGGTTGAACATGGAATGCAATTGAAAATGACCGTTATCGATGAAATGCTACAACTAATGGTTATATGATGTGTTGAATTGTGATCCCAATTGGTACATTTCTCTTACAAAACACACCTTGCGCGCAGCATATATTAGAGAAGACACAAAAATTCCTCATGAACATTCCAAGTGATGTAGTGTAGGAACAGAAAAATCAACTCAAAACAGCACAGAACAGAAAATTGATGGCTAAAACTAGAAGAATATAGGGGCTGCAGCTAGAAAAATAGGTTTAGGGTTTGTAGACAACACCTAAAACGTATTCTGATTGACAAAAAATAATAAGATATGTCTGAAAAGTAAGCTAGGCAGTCTATTTATACTAGTCCTAGGTTTAAATCCATATCTTTATGGGAAAAGTAATCACTAATAGAAGTTAAAAAGATTAATATAGAATCTAAATAGCATAAGGATTCCTAGACTAAATAAGAAAACTAAAGTTACAAAAAGGAAAATATTAATTCTTCTAAAAGCTCCTGCGTCAATCCCCTTGGGTTGGAAAAAAAAAACTCATCATCGAGTTGAAAACATTGTTGTCTTGATCTCGTGGATGTCCAACGAAGACCTGCCATACTTTTTTATTCATGACTAAACTGTATGACAACACTTGATATTAGCCTTAGCTTCCTCAGGTTAAATCCCGCAAAATGAACATCTACTCTTCATCTGCACCTCCTTTGTTCATCTTCAAAACAGTACTTTTGTATGGCATGAATTTGCATCGTCAACAGGTCTCCCCAACATATTTGTAATCCTTGAGATAGAATCATTTATGCAATCAAAAGGATCATCAAAGGTTAACCCAATGAAATCATTTTGTGGAGCTACAACTACGATATTTTGCTTATACTCAACTACTAGATTTTTAGTGGCATCATCATCATTGTGTTCATTGTTTCCGTCATCTTCCTTTTTTTTTTTTACACTCACACACCCAAGGCTCCTAGTAGAACTGGTCTGTTAAGATTTGAACTCATGACCTCTTATTGCAAGAGATCACTACCACTGGGCTACAAGCTCTTTGGTGTTCCATCATCTTCCTTGTCATCCGAATAAACACTATAAATTGGTTCTAATATGTTACAACTTCTGCAATCTTCCTCTGCTTCTTGGTCTCTGGTTCTCATCTCTTTCAATCCCCCAAGATTCTCATACTACATATATATCTATTTCATTTCTTCAGCATACTCATCATAAATAGGTTCTAATAAATCATCTACTTGTTCTTCTGGCTCCCTTAAGTTTATCCTTCATTGTGGACAAGCAAAAGAATAATGACCAGTTTCTCTTCAAGCAAAACACCTTATCTTGGAGTTGCCAGCCTTAGAAACTCTACGAATAGAATTATTTGCTGTAAAGCCTTCCATGTTCCAATCCTCTCAACGTTGGAAGCATTACTGCTGTATCTAAGGGCTGTTTGGTCAATTTCAACACTCTGAACAACTCCAGCACCCTTTTGCCTCACTCCATCAGATCTTCCAAACAAATATCTGCTTGCACCATAGCGCCATACACGTTTTTCAGCCATCAAAACATATTGTTGTGCATCTTCAAGATTAAATCATCAAACCACTCCCATCGCATCCCTATCAGATTGATTCAAGCCACAAGGTAACAAGATTCAGCTGCTCATCATAGTTTTAAGAAACAGTCATTACATAACATAACGGCCATTATATAACAGTTTTGAGACATCCCGTTATTGTTATTCAGCGTTATAAGTGCCTCGGCACTCGTTTCACAAGTATAACAAGTAAATAACAATGTTACCGTTATATAACGTCGTTATTTATCGTTATAAAACGACATTATACATTAAAAAAAAATTCAACCATTTTAGATTTAGAGTTTGAGAGTTTATTTTACTAGAGAATAAGAATCAAATAATAGACTAGCAAGCTTGATTGAATAAATATTAAATTAGTTCTTTTATTTTGGAAAAATAAATTAGTTAGTTCTTTTTATTTCAAAAATCAATTATTTATTTATTTGTGTTCATTTTATGTTATTTCTAATTTATTTTCCTTTTTTCATTTTTTGAAAAAATAGAAAAATAAATTTATTTCATGAAAAGATTGATGAAAAAACATTTTGTTGAATAAAATATATTATATTAAACATGATCAAAAGATTAAATAATTAATTTTTAAAACATCAATTACTCATTAATTTATTTATCAAAACTAGAGAAACTAATGTATAATTTACTTGGGTTGTTTGCCTTGTCTCATGGGGTAACAAATTCAAAGGCCTCGCAAATGCAAGCTTTAATTGAGTAAATTATAAATTAGTATCTTTGGTTTGGAAAAATAAAGTAGTTGGTCCTTCTTATTTCAAAAACTAATTATTTAGTCATATTTTTTAATTTTATGTTATTTTCTAATTTGTTTTCATCTTTGTTCTAAAAATTAAAAAAATAACTTTACATCATGATAACAATGATGAAAAAAATTTGTGAAATAAAATATCTTATATTAAATGTAGTCAACACTAAATAAATTTATGGGAATTAGAATGTGTTATTAATATACTTAATTAGTAAAACTATTAAAAATGTATGAATTAGAATAAATTTATTAACGAGTTGTTAGTGTATTCGTGACATCGATTGTCATGATTATTATTTTACTATCGCAATAAGCCGCGATCACGATCGTTTTTTCAATCGCGACCGCTATTTAAAACTATGCTTCTTTGTTGAATTCAACCGTATACTCCTCTACAACAAGCTTCTTTGTTTTAAAGAATGGAAACTTCTCATACAACTCCATTGTATAATCAACTGGCAAAAATTGTTTGCACAAATTTGCTTCCAAGTGCTGATTTTAGGCTTGCCTTGTGCATTGTCGTTCAACTCTCTTCCACCATTGAAGCGTGGTGCCCTTCAATATAAGCTTACCCAAAAAAAAAAAAAAAAAAAAAAAAAAACTTCCTAACTTCAACCATAGTTTCCATTCAAAATAATTCTCCAAGCTAGCTTTCCAATCTATATAATCCTCTACATGCATCTTTCCATAAAATCAGCAACTTCTATCTTAATTCTTCCTCCATTCAACTTAAGGGCATGGGCTAAATGCTCTTCCAATCCACCTCTTACCGCATTATTTATTGTGGGAAATATGCCTCCAATTTAGGAGGAACGTAACCTTCCTATTTAGGAAGAAATCAATCACCGTAATCACGGAAAATCAAAAGGAAATATGGCCCTAATTTTCTATTCTAATTTTCCTAAATTGTGGCTTCCTATTCCGGTGTATATGGATACTATAAAAGGAACTCCTGCTATCGCTATATTTGGTGTGACAAAAATAAAGAGTTGAGCCCTTTCTCCCGTGGATGTAGGTCTTCATGACCGAACCACGTTAAACTCGTGTTTTTTTCTTCTTATATTTCGTTTTATGGTATCAAAGCCAGGTTATCCTCTAGCCAAAGAACCAAACCAACTCTAGCCAACCTTAGCCGAATAGATGGCAAGCTCCACCCCAATTACGGAGGAATCAATTAGGATCCCTACCGTTGTCAACCCACAAACCTCAATTTTACCTAACCCTACCGATAACTTCTCAATCCAAATCACCTCTCACAAACTAAATGAGAGTAATTGTAGGGAGTGGTATCAATCGGTTTTACTAGTGATCAAGGGCGAGAGGGAAGATGGGATATCTAACCGGAGCAAAGAAGGCACCACCATTAGAGTCGACTAATTATGGAGTTTGGGAGGCCGAAAATTGTACGATCATGGCATGGCTAATCAACTCGTGGACCAAAAACTCGAACGGTTGTATTTATTCTACCAAACAAGCAAAGGAAATATGGGATTCGATGAGAGATATGTATTCAAATTTCGAGAACATATCACAAAGTTTTGAGATTCGTTCCAAAATTCAAAATATTCTCCAAGGTACATCATCTCGTTATCGAATATTTCAATAACATGTCGAATTGTGGCAAGAAATTGATATGTTTCACAATATATCTTGGAGATGTGCCGATGATGGGGTGCTTTATAGCAAAATGTTAGAAAAGGATCGAATTTTTTATTTTTTGCAAGGTTTAAATCGAGAACTAGATGATGTCGGGGAAGAATACTTGGTATAAAACCATTACCCTCATTAAAGGAGGTCTTTGCTGAAGTTTGGCGTGAAGAAACAAAGAGGAAGGTGATGTCATTGCCATTGCTTAATACAACGAGTAGAGGCGAGCAGTGCGGGGATCGGCTTTGGTGATAAACCGAAGCAAGGAAAACGAGTTCAAAGGGGTTGATTTGGGGAAGGATAAGCGGGTATGGTGTGAGCATTGTAAAAGACCATATCACACGAATGATACATGCTGGAATTTCTATGGAAAACCTAAAGATTGGAAGCCGAGAAATCGAGAGGAAGAAGGTTGCCTATTCAACTGAAACAACGGTAGATGCAAACCCTCAATGGTTTACAATCGAACAATTAAAAGTCCTCAAGAAATTGATGAAATCTAATACGGAAGAATACAAATCTGCTCCCTCTAATTTCCACTGGTTCCTCGACCTTAACAACTCACAAAGATACAGTTCTTTTTTATCATACAAGACAATATGATTCTTGGATAGTAGATACTGGGGCTTCGACCATATGATAGGTTCAAATTTAAGGATGAGCAATTATAAACCATTTAGAGAGAATTTTAGAGTTACGAGTGGCGAGATGGAACTATATGTACAAGCAAAAGGGAAAGGCGACTTGGACATAAATGGGCTGAATTTAAAATCCGTGCTTTATGCTCCGAATTAAAATGTAATTTATTGTCGAGTGGGTAAAATTATTAAGGACTCGAATTGCTCTATGGTATTTTCTCCCTCTCATTGTGAATTTCGGGATTTGTCATCGGGGAGGACGATTGGGAATGCCGAGGAGCAACATGGTCTCTATTATGTGTCGGGTGTTGGACCCTCCTCAAGCTCTAGGTCATCTAGTGTTTTGTCCTCATTTTCCAATTCGATGTTCAATTATTGCACAATAGATTGGGTCATCCTAGTTTTCATTATTTGAAACATTTATATCCCCATTTATTTTTCAATAAAAATCCTTCATGTTTTCAATGTGAACATTGCACCCTTGCCAAACAAGCACGTGCATCCTATCCTCCCTATCCTTACAAACCTTCAAGTCCATTCCATTTAATTCATAGTGATGTATTGGGACCATCACGGAAACAAAATTTTACAAGGGAACGATAGTTTGTTACTTTTATTGATGATCATACTCGTGTGTGTCGGGTCTATTTAATGAAAGAAAAATCGAAGTAACAAGAATTTTCAAACAATTTCATAAGCTTGTTACAAATGTCTTTCAATCATCCATTCTTATATTTCGAACAAACAATGCAAAAGAATATTACTCTAATAAACTAAATGACTATCTACAAGAAAATGGGATTGTTCATCAAAGTTCATGTGTGTCTACCCCACAACAAGATGGAATTGCTCGAAAGAAAAAATCGTCATCTTTTAGAAGTGGCTAAAGCCATCATGTTTGCACGTCGAGTTCCAAATCACTTTTAGGGAGAAGCAGTCCTCATACTCGCATTCCTAATCAATCATGTTCCTTCAAAAGTTCTCAAATACCAAACTCCCCTTAGTATTTTACTATCCGTCTTCCCTACTTCACGGGTCCATAATACTCTTCAACCTCGAGTTTTTGGGTGTGTAATATTTGTTCATAACCTTTGACCTAATCGTGGCAAACTAGATCCGAAAGCCCTAAAATGTGTTTTCCTTGGTTATTCTCCCACTCAAAAGGGTTATAATTGTTATCATCCACCTATCAAACGTGTCTTTATTTCTTGTGAAGTGACCTTTCTAGAGAATCGGCCTTTCTACTCTCAAGTTTATCTCCAAGGGGAGAATGATACTCAAGGAGATAAACATTGGGATCCCACCTTTTCGGTAATTTTTCCTTCGATTACACACCTAGTGGTTTCTATATCCGAGCCCAATGGAACCAGTCAAGGGGGAGAGTCCGATCTTGGTCAAGGGGAGAGTTGAATAATGTTAATCCAAAACCGATTCAAGTCTATTCTAGGAGACCATGAGCTCCAATGCAAACCCATGAGTCTAAACCGAGTGGTAGATTCTAGCAACAAGTAACGACAAAGAGGATGGGTCGGGTGATGAACAACCTTATGATTTGGATCTTCCAATTGCTTTAAGGAAAGGGGTAAGAACCCGTACTAAAGCTCCTAAATATCCTATCTCAAATTATGTTGCATACTCTAAGCTTTCAGGAGATTTTAAGGCCTTCATTGCCCAAATTGATGAAATAAAAGTTCCTAAAAATATTGATGAGGCTCTTCGAAATCCTAATTAAAAAGAAGTCGTGTTGGAAGAAATGAAGGCATTAACGGACAATGATACTTGGGAAATGGTGCAACCACCGAAGGGAAGAAAGTAGTTGGAAGTAAGTGGGTTTTTACAAGTAAAATATAAACCCGATGGAAAGGTGAATCGGTTGAAGGCAAGACTCGTAGCACAAGGCTTCACTCGGACCTATG